GGGACAGAGCTGTTCAGCAGTGGGAAAAGATCTATACTTTGATTTGATTTGGTTGGTAGGAATTTGAGTCCGGAGGCTGAAAGGCCTCAGTTAGGGCAACTGTTGTGTTATTGCAAGGGTTCTGAGCACACTAATATGCACAAATGCCTGGAGATTGAGTAAATAGTATGTCTTTCAAGTACCTGTATTACCATTTCCAAATGTATGTAGTTTTCAGATGCAGTTTTATTTAAAAGCGTTGCTGAATTCATAGTAAAAATCCATGTTCTTCAAGGATATGAAAAACATGATTTCTGACATGTGTGAAGGTCAATACAAATTTCAGATGATAAAAGGGGCCTTAGATCTAGAGAGGGCTGAGTGCCAGGGTGACATGGGCAGGTGGGCAAGGGATCTGCCAGCCCCAACTTCACTGATCCCATGAAGAGGACTCAGGTTCCCACTGGAGCAGAAGGCATGAAAGCTTCGATCCAAGAGGCCCTTCCTCAGGTCAGGGTGGTGACTTGCTGGCCTGGGCAAGCCAGAAGATTTGATGAATCGCCTTCTACTCTTCCACGATGATGCATAGGGGGGTGAGGGGGGAGTGCCTGGGGGTAGAAGGGTGGATTGGATAGCCTCCAGGCTGCAGCACCCTATGAGGTTCTGAATTCATACATTGTAACCCAGTGACTCACCTTGTTCTGCAGGGAGAAAGTACTTAGGGTACTCAGTTAAGCTTCAAATAATCTGGGTATTGAGGGGGAGTGTCAGCTACTCTATTTTCTCAAAATGTATATTAGATCTCCGAAGCCTAGAGGCCCGGTCATCAGGATTTTCACTGATTGCTCCCTTCCCTCCTGTCATGTGCATTGCGCATGACCCTACAATCAGAATTCACATTCTAGCCCAGCTAATGTATCCCTGCTATCTCTCTGCTCCCTGCCCCTTGTGGATAGTGTCTTCTCTACAATCCTGGAGGCAGAATAAGAACAGACTGTGCCCTCATCACACTACTACTGTCTGCTGGAGAGGCCCCGGGTCTAGAACTAGCTGATGACAATTGTAGCTATAACTTTGCTTCTCAAAGATTCTTCTCCAATTCTTTCTAAAGGGTTGACAAGAATGGTTCAGAGTCGGTGGGCTCTGGCAATGGTTGGTATCTCCCTCAGTGGGGGACAGTAAGGTGCCTTGATTCACTCTGAGTTTAAGAATTCTTACACACCTGGATTTCAGGCCCCACATGTGACTACAGCAGTTCCATCTGGCACAAAGGCAGGCACTTGTCACAACACTCCCCAGAATCTCCTCCTGCAAGACCCATTTTATCGCTGTATTGATAAGGGCTCATACTCAGAAATGAAAGAATCCATCTGTCTAATGTAACCTGAAAATAATTTATGAAAGGATAGTACTGTTAAAGGTGTCCCTGGGAGCTCTGTAGCCTGAAACTGTGCCCAGTCACACCGAGGTGGCTCCAGGGAAAACCACTGTGACCCTGGTAACCGTACTGCATCACTGCCAGGGAGACCCCATGTCCCCATTGTGGCACTTTCTTTTGCTAGCTCCTTATATTGTCTAAGTTAGAACTTGTCTCATCATGTCTATCTCAATGGAAGATTCTAGGCCACTAATTTGGCCTCCATGTGTTTTTGGGATTTTACCCCAGGAAGGTGTTGACCAAAATATAGGAAGGGTGTGTAAAGATGTGTAGCCACAGATGATGAAAGTCTACACGGCCTCCACTTCCTGAATCTAGCTGTGCCTACTCCCAACATGGAACCTGGGATTAAGACTCCTTGGGCTGATACATCTTTCTTTCTGTCTCACCAAATCCCGTTCTCCTTCAAGTTTGGCTCATGACTCTTCATGAAGCCTTCCCGTGCAATTTCACGTGTTCATTGCTTTTCTGGTCCTTCACGCTCTCACAGCACCTGCAGTGCAGCACTTAGTTTCACATGTTCTTAATGTTTGGCCTGTCTGAGCTCTTAGAAAACTACTCTCTGTCACAGGTAACTGAGAGCTGAGGCTCAGTAAACACTCAGATTTGTTCACTGGTTTCTCTTTGGCCTGGGAATTGAGGTCTGCACCACTTACCCCCAGTCATGGAGTTGATTTTGTTCATCTATCTATGCCCAAGCTGTGCTCACATTCCCGGTAGGGCCTTAGGGGGGTAATTTGCAAATGGAAGCATCATTTTATTGGATTTGATTCATTTGACAGGTATGGAACCTGAAAGTCTCCTTGAGACACGCACACAAACAAACATTGTGAACATTGAACACTTTTAATTAGCTAAGTGCTTCCTAAGCATAACAAGGACTTTATGAGAAAGGTACCACTAATAACTTATTTTTAAAGATAAGGAAACTGAGGCACAGAAAGGTGAAGAACATGCTTATGGACATGAGATAACAAAGCCAGGTTTAAAAATTGGATCTGTTTGGCTCCAAAGTATATGCTCTTAAACATTCAGAGAATAAAAATGTGACCCAGTTTTTGGATACATTTCTAGAAACACTTGACAGAGATTTTCTGCATTCAGCTGTATTCCTGTGACATCAAGAGGGGAGGAGATGATTGATCAACTTTAATGGCTAGAGATGCTGAAACACAGAACTGAAATAACTTTGGTCATGATTAGTCACAGGGAGGGCCTTGTCCACCTCTGAGTTGGGTTCATTCTTCAAACCCTGGTTCCTCTGAGGGAGTAAAGAGGAGCAGGGTAACTGTGTGTGGCCGCCTTCTGGACCTGGGATAATTTCTTGAGCCATTAAACTTGGGGTAGCAGTTGTGGAAGACCAGGGATACAAGTCAGACATGCAAGAGAGGGCTGCAGTATTGGGCAGGGGCCTGGTCATGTGGCCTCAAATGACCACTGAGCTGCAAGATGACTCAGTGATTGATTGAGTCTTGATACTGTGATTCTCCAGCATTTTTTTCCACTGGGGGTCTGGAGAGGTAACACTCATTTTGCACATACATTTCCCCAAATCCAAACATCAAATTTGAGAGATCTGGATACTCTTTTAAAAAAAGATTTATTTTTATTTATTTATGCATACAAGAACTGGGGCGTAGTCCAGAGGAGCAGAACAGGCAGATTGACTGAAATACACTGCTGAGGGGAGCAGTGGGCCAGACAGGAGAGGTCTGCTGCGCCATGTGTGTCAGCTCCCTGGCTGGGGATTGAACTCATGCTGTAGTGGCTGTCGATAGCTTCATAGTGCTGAGACTTAACCCCTTGTGCCACCAGGGAGGCCCAGATCTGGATTCTCATGTGAAAGTGCTCTCAGTTAACTTGAGCTATGTATCCTCATGTAATGGGATTGGAACAGTTTTTATTTTTTATTTTTTGTTGTAATCTAGTAAAGGCTTCATTCATTCATTCATTCATTCAATCAATTGATTGATTGAACCAAATAATCTTTACGAGCATCTATTATTGGCAAAGTACTGTGCCAAGAACTGGATGGTCCCGCATATGCACAAGACTACAAGCTCCTGGGAAAGCTATGGTTTTAGTCCTGGCCATGATATTGCATGGCCTGGGGGGTAACTTATGGGGGAGAGAGGGACAAAAATGGAGAACCAGGCCACTGAGGAAAATTTCACTTCTCCTGTACTTGGGCCATTCCCATCCTGCCACCCTGTCCAGGGAGTGCTGAAGAAGCCCCGTCTTACTTCTTTCCTCATTCCAAGAAGCCTTCTGCCAAGGCCATACATGTCACACCCTTGGCAGCACCGAACATGGCACAGACGGAACAGAAAAAGACCTGTCCTGGAGAGATAGGCAGCTGAGCTGGCAGCTCCACAGCTGTGAGGAAGGTTTTCCCCCTGGACAAGGCAAGCCCAGGCCCTAAACCTCTGAAAAATGCCGGGTTGGCGGGTTCTCAGGTTTTTGGAGTCAGACACGTATAGCATGGCTGCCGGCTCTGCCATGTGTGGGGCTGATGTGGGGGCTGGGGGGTCTGGAGACTGAGGACACAGATGCACCCCCTTTGCCAGAGAACTGCTTCTTCAGGGGGCCACGGGTCTCGCTCACGGTGGGCCTTGGACAGTCCGGAGCACGAGCTATTCTCTCTCTAATATTTATTGGATTGGTTAAGGAATTGATGCTTGAATTTCAAATTCCTTGGGACTTGGGACAGAACCAGAGAGGTGCTGAAAATGTGGGGACCAAGAAAGGAAGGCTTAGAGTTGGCCCCATATATATAACAGGGTATAGTTACTCTGGGGACTTTTGGAAACAAAACAAAGAGATACACGCACAATTTGGCAATTTGACCTTTGCTGAGGTCTCATCAAAGTGCAGAGGTGTTCACTGTCCTTTGCTCAGAACACAGACATGAACCCAGTGCCCTGATCCCTGAACTACAGCTTGGGACCGAGAGGGAACCCAGGAGGCTGATTTGTGAGTGTGCTGGCCTCTGACTCCAGGAAGGAAGCGTGTCCTTTGCTTGATCTCCAAACTCAGCACAGCAGGAACACCCAAGGGCCGTGTGCTGCCTGTGGGATGAGCTGTGTCACCCCTTCTGTTGAGATGCTTCCCAGGTCCTTGGCCGGACTTCATGGCCTCCACCACCCAGACGGCAAGACCCACCTTCCACCCTGTCCTTTCCTGAGCTGAGCCCCGCTCTGGTGGGGCAGGCGACAGGCAGACAGACAGAGGATGAGCAGGCTGCCTAGGTCTTGTCAGGCAAAGTTAAGGAGGTGGCCGTGCCCGAGCATGGGCAGCGCCAGGCACCACCCCTGCCAGGTAAGCCTGCCACCTTGCACTTTTTTTTACCATTTCAGATTATTTTCAAGGTGTGTTTAGTAGCCTGGAACAAACTTATTGCCTTGCAGGCAAACCCAACCCATAAACATTTGGGATTATCGCTCCTTCTTTTCAGCCCAACAACCTCCACGGGTGTATATAAAGGGATTTATTCAGCACAGGTCTTCAGTTCCCTTCCTGCTTCCTCTGACTCGCCGTGTCCTTGCTTCACTGTTGCATCTTTCCTTCACCAAGTGTTCTCACCATGAATAGACAAGCCTGCAAGACATCTGGTGGCTTCTCCGGCCGCTCCGCTGTGGTCTCCGGCAGCAGCAGGATGAGCTGTGTGGCCCGCACCAGGGGAGCTGGTGGAGGGGCCTGCGGTGCCCGGGGTGGAGCCGGTGGCTTCGGCAGTCACAGCCTCTACAACCTGGGTGGCTCCAAGAGCATCTCCATGAGCGTGGCCGGCAGCTCCCGGGCTGGTGGCTTTGGGGGAGGACGTAGCAGCTGTGGTGGTGGCTTTGGGGGTGGCTTTGGAGGTGGCTTTGGTGGTGGCAGAGGAATGGGAGGTGGCTTTGGAGGGGCTGGTGGCTTTGGAGGGGCTGGTGGTTTTGGAGGGGCTGGTGGCTTTGGAGGGGCTGGTGGTTTTGGTGGAGGTGGCTTTGGTGGCCCCGGTGGCTTTGGTGGCCCCGGTGGCTTTGGTGGCCCTGGTGGCTTTGGTGGTCCTGGTGGCTTCCCTGGCGGAATCCAGGAAGTGACAGTCAATCAGAGCCTCCTGCAGCCCCTCAACATGGAGATTGACCCCCAGATTGGACAAGTAAAGACCCAGGAGCGGGAGCAGATCAAGATCCTCAACAACAAGTTCGCTTCCTTCATTGATAAGGTGATGAAGCTTGTACTGGGGCCCCATTCCTAGGCTGGGACATTGGTTTTGACATTAGAGACAGTATTTAGGATCAACCTGGGGCAGCCCTGGCTTGTTGGGGGGGGGCACTAGGCAGCACTCTAGGGTCTGTGACTATGTCCAGGGCTAACAAGGTCGTCCACATGGTCATGTAAGTAGGAAAGACAATGGTCTCTGTGGCCTTGGGCATCCTGAGTCCTGCTTGTCTGACTCCACTCAGGTCTCCCACCTATTGCCTGTCTAGGCTCAGCTGGCAGAGCTGACAGCCCATGGCAAGGACTGTGGCCACTGGCAGGGAAGGCTTTGACTTAGAGCTGGTGACCTTTCAAACACAAGCTGCCTCTGAGGCTTTGCAAGGGTCAGTTCCTTCCATGTTACTGTGTCAGCAAGGACACAGACACCCTAGAGAAGGGATTGAAGAGGTTTGCATGGATCCTCATCCCAAGGGGCTGCAGAGAAGCTGGCAGCTTAGTTTGAAGCCCTAAACAACTAGTCAGAAAGAGAAGGGTACATGGCCGGGAGCGTCACACCTGCTGTCTCTTGGCTGTCACATCAGTGATGACACCTCAGTGAGTACCAGTCCTGGTGATTCACAGCCTTTGAAGGGCTGGGGTGGCAGAGAAGCCTGAGATGGAGCTGATGCTGCAGAGGTTGAAGCACGTTTTGCTGTGTGTGTAAAGGGAGCAGCTCCTTCCATTTGCTGTGCCAGGTGTTGGGAGCCGAGTAGAGTCATGAAGTCCCTGGGAAAAGCCTTCCCTGTCTCTGCGCCTGGCGGTGGGTGATGCAGACACAGGGTGATGCCAGGCCCCTCGCTCTGCTGCACGCACTGCCTGACGTGCCGCCCCCCATGCCTTGCAGGTGCGGTTCCTGGAGCAGCAGAACAAGGTCCTGGAGACCAAGTGGAGCCTGCTGCAGCAGCAGACCTCAAACTCCACCTCAGGCACCAACAACCTGGAGCCCTTTTTTGAGAACTACATCAACTCCCAAAAGAGCTACCTCGATGGCATCCTGGGAGAGAGGGGCCGCCTGGACTCAGAATTGAGGAACATGCAAGACCTGGTGGAGGACTTCAAGAGGAAGTAAGTGCTGGTGAAGCAGTGGGAAGATTTGAGGGCCACCCAGCTTGGATCCCAGACCTCCTGCACCCCTCCTGCCTGCTGGACAGTGGTGCCCCTGAGCCCAGTTCCCTCTCCTGGGCTTCATGGACAGTGGCTGGGGTCATTCAGTTTCCTCTTAGCCCCCTTCTTCAAGGACAGGCCTTTGCAGGGAAAAATGCAAGGAGGGTAGGTTTGGAGTTGACGGACACTTCCTCAGGAGCCAGGCTGGGCAGAGCCTGGCCCTAGGATCTGAAGATGACGGGACGGCTCAGGGGGCAGTGGCCGACCATGACTTTCCCAGGGAGCATCTCCCTGGTCTCTTTCCTGCTATGGAGACAATAATAGGAGGGTGCAGTCATCCAAGGCTGGTGGGACCTGGACAGAGAGTGGGAGAGATGAGCTTTCAGAATGTCAGAGAACAGTGGTCTTCATGATTATCCCCAATCCCAACTCAGTCATTTCTTTTTAATCCTTACAGATATGAGGAGGAAATCAATAGACGTACAACTGCTGAGAATGATTTTGTGACCCTGAAGAAGGTAAGGGCTGTGTGTGAAGTTCCAGGGGCTTGTAGGCACAGGCTTCTGGCTGGGTTGGCAATCTCCTACTCCACTGCCACGGACCTGCCAAGTTCAGGCGCTTGGAGCCAAAAAACAGAAGCCAGGAGCATCTTAGTCTGGAAAGATCCCTAAACGAGTCAATTCATTTGATTTTGGTTTTTGAGGACTGACCTTAAGCCCTCCCCAGCGAGTTGGGAATCACTCCATGTGGGGTCCAGCCCCAGACAAGAAGTCATGAGCCCCCACCCCTGTTCCTCCCTGGCTTTCTCTTGCTGCAGTTGCAGTCAGTTGTTTGTTTCTCAGGGGATGGGCCTTTATGCTTGTGTCTTCCTCAGGACGTGGATGCTGCCTACATGAACAAGGTGGAGCTACAGGCCAAGGTGGACGCCTTAACGGATGAGATCAACTTCCTGAGGACGCTTTATGATTTGGTGAGGATGTTTCCTACACAGGGGAGAGAGAGAGGGGGAGAGGTTTCCAGATTGGAAGCAGGGGAACTTTGGTATCTAGGGCCCAGGAAGACTGAATCTTGGTGGCCTTCTGCAGAATGGGTGGTAGACATGGGATTCTCTGATGGGGGTGCCGCAGTATGGGGCGACCACCCCTTCAGAGCTGAGACAGTGCATGGAACTGTTGATTAGGCCACTGTGTGCTTGTTGCAGAGGCATCGAGAGTAAACAGGCCCCTCTGTGTCTGCAGGAGCTGTCCCAGATGCAGAGCCATGTCAGCGACACGTCTGTGGTGCTGTCCATGGACAACAACCGCTGTCTGGACCTGGACAGCATCATTGCTGAGGTCCGGGCGCAGTACGAGGAGATCGCCGAGAGGAGCAAGGCCGAGGCTGAGGCACTGTACCAGAGCAAGGTAGGAGCCCTCCCCTTGCCCCAACCTGGTTTTAGGTCTCACTGAGCTTCCTAAGGATGTACCCGCACTTGGCAAAGTCACATTGATGGGTTTCTCCTCTGTCAGCTTGGGGAGCTGCAGAGCACAGCTGGCAGCTATGGGAATGACCTGAAGAGCACCAAGACCGAGATCATGGAGCTCAACAGGATGATCCAGAGGCTGCAGGCCGAGATCGAGAACGTCAAGAAGCAGGTGGGCTGGCTTGGGCTGCTGGTTCCCGGGCTGCCAGGGAGGGGTGGGGGCGAGTGTCTCAGGCCTCCTCGCCTGGACTGGACTCCTGGGACCATCTCAGGCAGCCTTGACCTGTGGGGAGTTCAAAGACCAAGGCAGCCCCAATGGGTGATAATTCATGGGGGAAATAGCTCTCCTGATGGAGACAGGATGGAGGCTCCAGGGAAGGCGGGATGTTGCCTGACTTTAAGGTACTTGTTATGGGATATTCATTCTAAGACTCAAAATCTGGGACTGGCCTACAGAGTTCATCCTTCCTCTTACTCCCCCACCCCAGAACACCAACCTTCAGGGGTCCATCGCAGACGCTGAGCAGCGTGGGGAGATGGCCCTCAAGGACGCCAATGCCAAGCTCCAAGAGCTTCAGGCTGTCCTGCAGAAGACCAAGGATGACCTGGCCCGGCTGCTGCGGGACTACCAGGAGCTGATGAACGTGAAGCTGGCCCTGGACGTGGAGATCGCCACCTACAGGAAGCTGCTGGAGGGCGAGGAGTGCAGGTGAGCTTTCAACTCTAGCCACCCAATTCCCCGGACCAAATCCCATGCTGAGGGGCAGGGAAATGAGGCGATAAATGGGTCCCACCCCACGCCCCAGCCGTGCAGAGGCACAAGCCTTTACCAGCCTGCTACCTCCAGGGTGCACACGGGTCCCCCCAGGACGCGTGGAGGAAGGGTCCCCAGCTGCCAGGCTTCTCTCAATTCAGTCCTGGTTGTTATTCATCCCCTGCACCTGTGGGCTTGTTGGGAATTGACGGAACTTTCTCTCTCACACAGGATGTCTGGGGAGTGCCAGAGCGCTGTCAGCATCTGTAAGTAGCCTAGGCAACCGTGACACCTGCCTGTCCTGACACAGGGCAGTAGTAACTAAAAAGGATTTCTATGGGAGGCGGTTTTCTGGGGGCGGCAGGTGGGCACATGACTGCTCTGGGGTCAGGGCGCTGTCAGCAGGTGCCCCTGGGGCTGGGGTGTCTCTGCTCCGGAGCCTCTTGTGGCAGCAGGAGCTGGGGCTGGACAGCCTGCCGGGCAGCGCATAATGCCTGGCTCTGCGGAGAAGGAGCCCCCGGGGATGTACAAGGACAAGCCAGGGGTGGTAGCACCTTTGCCGATGACCCTCGGGTGCAAACGCGCCCTCGCGGCCTCCGCGTGCTCGGGGCCCCGCGGCCCTGGGGCGCTGCAGCGAGGGGCGCGCTGACCCGGCGTCCTGTCCCCGCAGCCGTGGTCAACAGCGGCAGCAGCAGCTCGGCCGGCGGCTACGGAGGCGGCCTGGGCGGCGGCCTCGGCCTGGGCGGCGGCGCGGGCGGCGGCTTCGGCCGGGCCGGGGGCAGCGGCTTCGGCGGCGGTAGCGGCCTCGGCGGCGCCTGCGGGCTCGGCGGGGGCAGCGGCCTTGGCGGCGGCAGCGGCTTCGGCGGCGGCAGCAGCTTTGGAGGCGGCAGCGGCTTCGGCTCCGGCTCGGGGGTCGCTGTGGGGTCAGCGGCGGAGGCTTCAGCTCGAGCAGCAGCCGGAGCAGCAGCGTCAAGTTCTCCCAGTCCTCGGGGCACTGCGCCAGATAAACCACGTGCCGGGCCGCAGCGCGCACCTGCAGCCCCGTCTGCCCCAGCAGCCCCAGCAGCCCCAGCAGCACCCTCAGCCCTGCAGCCCCAGCAGCACCCTCAGCCCTGCAGCCCCAGCAGCACCCTCAGCCCCTGCAGCCCCAGCAGCCCCAGCAGCACCCTCAACCCCCTCAGCCCCCTCAGCCCCCTGCAGCCCCAGCAGCCCCTCAGCCCCCTCAGCCCCCTCAGCCTCCAGCAGCACCCCCCCCCCAACGCCGGCCACAGCCGCAGCACCAGCCCCCCATCCCGCCCTAACCCTGCTGGGGCCCTTCTTGGGGGCCAGGAGACCAGAGCCTCTTGCTCCTCCACCCAGAGCACCCTGGTGCAGCCCAGTCAGAGACTTTCAGGCTCTTCTCTCCGGCCCCAGCCTGTGTCTGTGATTGTCCAGGTGTGGCCTCAGCCACCACCTCTGCTGCCCGGGGCCTCCTGGGAGGAACGGTCACCACAGTTCTGATGTATAGAATCCACAGCCCCTCTGCCCTCTGTTCTGTCGCCAATAAAGTGCATTGTGTTTCACAGCTGGCCTCTGAGCATTCTTGGGGGTTTTTCTCCTCACGGGACTGATGCTCTTACCCCCTCTGCTGGGCAGGGGCGGGGCACAGACACCAGATACTAGTCCTCTGCAGCCAAGGCAGTGTCTGCCCCTGCCCCTTGCAGGGCACCTGGGGCACCGACTGCTTGTCGTTTACCCCTTCAGGGGAGCCCAGGAGCACAGCCCTGGAGGATGGACTGTGCAAACATCTGTCGCCTCTTTGCCTTTGTTTTTGGGGATCTCAAGAAGGCCTTGGGTTGCTGAGGAGCTTGGGGGTATGGGATGTCTTCCCTTGGTGCTGGTCCCCTTTCCAACTGACACCTGAAAAACGTACCCGCTTCAGAGTGTGAAGGAGGAGGGTCTGAGAGGGACTTCTGTGGCTTCCCTCAGATGAGACGAGTGGAGACTCCCTGGCCAGGTGGGGAGATAGGAGAGTGGGTTCAGAGGGAGTCCTGGAGACTCACGTTTGCACATTTAACCAGCATAAGAACAGTCAGGGCAGTTCCTGAAGCCATGGGGGTGGATAACCTCTCCCAGAGAGGGAAGCAGAGAGGATCTACGCTGAGAGCAAGGAAGCCAGCACCTAGAGTTATGGAGAGATGGTCAGCCGGGCTGTAGAGCCCAGCTTTTCCAAGGTGGTGACCGCCTGAGAGGTCAAGAGTTTCTAAACACACTCCCTGTAGCGCCCAGATCAGGCCTGGTCTTTCTCAGGACACTGTGCCTGGCTTCGAGGCGCACGTTCAGAGAGGTCTTTGTGACCTTTGTGGCCCTTGTTCATCCATCCTCGGGGGTTTGGACTGTAGCTTATGCCCAGGGCCCTCGTTCATTCATCCTGGGGAGTTTGCAGGAGACCCCCATTACCTAAGTAGGCCTCTATTGACAGAGGGGAGTCCACATAGCTTCTTCAAGGAGAGAGCAGCCAGGGTAGCCTGGCTCAGGAGGGGGGCACCTTGGACAGAAGTGTCACTGTGCCAGAAGAATGCCTGGCAGGTGGGTTTGGAGCCAGACCTGAGACTAGGAGTTAACTCCATGCTGGGCTGCGCATTCTCAGCCCAGCCCTGACCATCTCTAATCCAGCCTGAAAATACCTTCCAGGGAACTTGGCCTGATTCTGAGTGCTCTTTCTCTTCCTTTTGCCTCAACATTTACATAATTTCTTTGTGAAACTGTTGATTTGTCAAGGAGCCCTATGTCACGAGGCTTGGGTTTGTTTTTCTGAACTTGACAAAACATTTCATCTTTAAGCGAGGTCCCAGTCTGGTGCTATGTTTTCCATTTTTTAAAAAATGAAAACAGGCTGCTTCCCGGCCACTGGAGGAGGGTCCCGCATGGCGCGCAGACCTCTCCTGCCGCCCGCTGCTCCCCTCAGCAGTGTACTTCGGTCCTTCTGCCTGCTCTGCTCCCCGCTCTGGCTCTGGTGAATTCTCTCACCCTCCCGCGCTTCTGACTATACCCAGTGCTCGTATAAATAAATAAATAAATCTTAAAAAAAAAACAAAACTATAAAGAAACCACCAGAAGGAATTCTAAACTATGCAGCACACGTTTACAAGGCATCCCTGAGCCATGTCTTAAGGCACACGTTTCAATCTTGGGGTTTTCAGGGCATCTTCTTGTTTTAATTGGTTTTATGGCTCTATCTCCATCTTCATAATTGGCCCGGTCTCTCTTTTTGGCAAACTTTTTTCCATTGTCCCCACCAATGTCTCATACCTTCTAGCCAATTCTTCATCCGACACCTCAAGCTCCACTGTCTCATCTTCAGCTTCTTCTGTTTTGTTCTTAGCATCCATTTGAAGCAGTCATTTCTCAACCTCAAGATTAAATCCTCTGAATGACACACTTCCGTGGAGAAGATCTCACACAAGAAACTTTGCTCTTCTGTTATGAAACATTCTTTCTCTTTAAGCTCTGGCAACTCCATACCATGCTCTTCACTAATGATTTCCTTCTCCTCCTCTTTTAGTAGTTTCTTGGTTTCTGAGTCCAGTCCCCTTAGTGTGAACTCCAGTGCATCAGACCTTGGCCAGTGGGTCCCGCGTGGGGCGCCATGCTGGCTCCCGCCGGCACTGTCCTCTGCCCGCTGTGTCTTCCATTCCTCACCTGTCCTCTAAGGATTTTTTTTTAAAGATTTATTTATGCATATAAGAGCTGGGGTACAGGCCAGAGATGTGGGGGGTGAGAGGACTCACCAGAGACAGAGCGGGGAACAGAACGGGCAGACTGACTGAAATACACTGCTGAGGGAGCAGCAGGTGAGGCAGGAGGGGTCTGCCTCGCCATGTGGGTTGCTCCCTGGCTGGCTGGGGATCGAACTCATGCTGCAGAGGCTGCTGCGGAGAGCTTCATAGCGTTGCGTCTTACCCCCTTGCGCTACTAGGGAGGCCCTCTAAGGATTTGTTTTGCCCACGGGGGAGCCACAGAGAGTGTTGATGGTGCTGCGTGGAGCCCGGGCCCTCACTGGGGCTTGGGCAGTGGTCAATGGCCATATATTTCTTTTGCTCCCTTTTCTGTCTGGCGGGTATGGAGTGGGACTTCCCCCTGTAATGGCACAACTTTGGTCCCCCCACAACTCCCATCCTCATGCGTCCTCCCTGTCCATGTCCCCCGCTGTGGGCCTCTCCACTCCCCCACCCCTACTTGGAAAGAATGTTCAAAGCAGCACTGTCTGGGCCTAGTGCCTGTGGACTCACGGGTTCACACAGGTCTTGATGTCAAGGAGACTGAGGTCATTTCTTTCTCTCTCCTCGGGGATAGGCTACAGGTTAGAGCAAGTATCAATGGTGACGGTGACAGAGACACCAGGCCTCAGTTAAGGGACTCAGGGGATTGTTTCCACAAGAATCCGCCTGTGGGGAGTCCAGACTCAGCTGCTGATGATCAAAGTTTGCACATAAGTTTTGAGTTGCTGGGTGGGGCCTTTGTTAGCCAATCGCCAGCAACCTCCTCTTTTGGGATTTGGGCTGCTCCTTCTCTCTGCTTTCATAGCGCTTTAGCCCAGGTGTATTCTTTCTCTGCTGACAAAGGCCAAAAAGGTGAACACCTTGCAACAATCTTGGGATGACGGAGAAAGACTCACTTCAGTCTTGGAAACACATTCACATATTTTATCTCTATCCCTCACGAACCTTTCTGTGATGCAAACTCTGCTGTGCTTAAGGTCAAGCTAATCACCACCAATTCTTCCAACCCAGCACAGGCTGAAGGCTGGAGGGTTCTCCTAGAGACTTGCTCACAGAGGTGTGGGGGGAGAAGCTGGTGCCCTTGGGCTCCGTGGGGCAGTGCCAGAGGTGTCGGCCTCATCGCCTCCTGGAGGAGAGCAGGGCAGGAAAGGACAGCTCGCGACAGCGGGAAAACCGTGGTTCTAGCTGGGGCAGCTTCACCTCCCGGGAACTGACAGAGATGCCATTTTTGGCTGTTACAGTGTGACCGGAGGAGAGCTACTAGCATCTTGAAGGTAGAGGCCTATGAGGCATCCTGCCAGGCACAGGAGAGTGCCGGAGCAGAGTCACCTGTCCTCAGATGTCATGGGCTGCTGCTGAGAAGCCTTGCACCGAAGCAAGAGGCCGTCTCCTTCCCCCTCCCCGGGAAAGTAGCCTTAGCCAACGCGCTGTGGGTGGGAGCTGGGCTGAATACATACTTGAAAGAGATCTGTGTTGTTGGGAGTTTGTATTAACAACAAAATTTGCCCTTGACTCTGGGCGAAGATGCAGGATAAACAAGCCGGATAAACAATGTGTCTTCATGTGTATTTTCAAGGCCAGTGCTGAAGGCTGTGAGGGGCCTGCTGGTCTACACTGGCTGTTTGCGCCTCTGTGTCCTTGGTAATCTGCTCCCCTTGCTAGGGGTGCCCCTTCTGCCTTCAATCTGTAGCAGCCCTGACTTCTCGTCGAAGACACCAGCCACTGTCTCCTGAAAGCTTTGCTGGGCTCTCACACGCTCCCAAAGACTTCTATCACCCCCCTTTTTTCACTTGTCATATTAGATTAAAGTGGCTAATGTCACCATCTCCTTTCCACACTGGAGTGGAAGCTACTCGAAGGGCTGGCAGTGCCTTCCTGTTTGTGCCTCCTGATGCCCAGCACAGGCTTGTAGCTATTATAAATTTCATGCGTTCACAAGGTGCTTAAGGAGGACAGGGTGAACGCTGACAGGCAATCGCTGTGCTGACGTATCGACAAAAGTCACATGTTCGAGCCATGACCTTTTGTTTGGTGCTCACGGAGCTAGTCACACACTGGGCATTTTCACATGTCATCTCATTTAATTCTCACAGCCTCACAGGAGACAGGTAGCAATTATCCTCATTCCCAGAGGAGGAAGCTGGGGCTTTGAGAGGCAGAGTGTCACACTTGGCAGCAGCAGGGAACAGCAGATGTGGCCTCAAGTCCCAAGCCTGCACTTGTAAGCCCTGTGCTGTGTTACCCCAGGTCCCTCCTGGAGGCCCTCTCTTGGCCCAGCTCTGGCATGTGGAGTCCTGAGGAGCCAGAAACCAAACCTGAAGTTCCTACATTAGCAAGAGGGGTTTCTCCAGTGGAAGCCCTGTGAAGTTGGGAGGCCTACCTTCAGCTCTGGAAAGTTCTGATCTCCAGTGGGAATCCAGAGATAGATTAGGACAGGCTTGGTGGTGATGGGTGTTTCTCTTTGAAGTAAAAAGAATTCATAAAACTTAAAACTTTTTCATTAACTCAAGTTCATATATTAAGGTGCAACCGCCCATCGCAAGCTACGGTGGGTTCTTTAAAAATCAAAGACTTTTCACGCTGAGATGGTCTACTTGGATGTTCCAGAGTGCACATAGATAAAAATGACCCCCGCACTATGACAGACTTGGCATAGTCTGGTTACAACCCCAGCTCTGTCAGCGGACCTGGGGCATGTCAATCAACCTCCTTTGTCTGTAACACGGGAATAAAAATTCCAACTTTATGGAGTCTTTATGACAATGAGAAATGATACTTGTAAACAGCCTAATTCAGAGCCTGGTTTATGGCAGGCAATTAATGTTAGTCATCTTGGTATTCTTTTCACAGACAGATGAAAGAAGCACAGATTTGAAAGAGGAAAGTATTTCACTAAACAGTAATCCGTACTCTTTTGGGAGGCATGCAGTAGCGCAGGAAGTGTTTGCTGACAGATGACTTGCATCACTGATGAGCCCCTCCAGTGGGGAGCTGGCCTGTCAGGCAGGAAGGAGGCTTTTATTTAACTCGCAATGCAAATGCCATGATTCCTTCCAATTCTATGCAAAAATCATCAGCAGTCAGTGCTGCCTCGCTACACCGGCTGTCCTGCAGAACTTCTTCCTCCTCTTCAGCTTCCAAACTGATGGCTTCCCGGGGACTTGATGCCTGGCGCCATCACTGCAAGGCCGCCTGGCGCGCAGCCCTTCTCTGAGTGTGAAGACTTCCGTGCACTCCCGTCTCAAGGCACAGGACTCCTGCAGCTGCGCCCCCCCCACTCCTGGAGAGGAGGCTGTGCTAATCCCAACTGGCAGGGCAGAAAACTGAGGCAGAGGTCATGTCACTGAAAAGAGGGGGGCTGGGGTGAGAATTCAGGCGTGGCTCCAAGGCCGCCATGTTTCTTCTCCCTCCAAGCTGAGAGGGAAGAGGCACTGCAATGGTGTTCCAGAAAACCAGCGTGCCCCCGAGAAGGGCTGACGCCCCTTTTCCATAGGGCTTGCTGAGGGAAGGTCAAAGGTTTCCAGAAGGTCCCAGCAAGGTCCATGGCTGGTGAGAAATACATGTTGACAGGAGAATGGGCCCCAGGGGACTTCACTTTCCAGCATCCCAGGACCCCTCTCTTGATTTCTCCAGGCTCAGGCCTTAGTCTGCTCTTTGCTTCCTCTCTCACTTAGAACACATGCTTTCTCTCCAGGGATGGAACGAGTCTCCTGCCTTTATGTCTTAAGTCCAACTGCTCTACATGCACGTTCTAGTTCTTCTGGACGCGCAGTCGGACGAGTGTCTCTCCAAGGATATTAACAGCATGTTAACAGGAGTGAAGACAGAAGGATTTTGCGGTCTCTCCAGAAAACATATTACATAACTTTACAAACATATTACAGTGTTTTACATAATCAGAATTACGTAAAAATAAAAAGACCTCTTCTGTAGGATTCTTTTCTACAGGATTTCTTGGGGCTTTTAGTATGCTAATGAGTTTTGTTAAAACCCCAAGAAGGGAGCTGTGGAATTTTGACTTCTCAAATTTACTTCACTACAGAACTGTTTTGTCAGGGCTATTTTAGAGGTTAGAATTCTGCTTGAGACATATCCTGGAAGAGAAACCTCCCAGATAAGGGTGGAAAGAGTTATTTTAATCATGCCTGGAGAGAAGACCTGCATTAAATAAATGGTAACTGCCAACACTTAGACGTGGCAATAAAAGGACTTAGCAGTACTGAGATGTTTACTTTTTGAGCTTCAGCTGTAAAGAGACCTAGCTGTCTATGGTAATGTATTTTTATTGTTTGGTGGCTAAATAAAGTTATTTCAGTGGTGATGTTTATACTATAACATGGCAAAAGGAGAAAACAGTGGTAAATCTTAGTCCAGGGCAGTATAGCTGGAATGACTGTTCATTTTTATTTGAAAACCAATTAATGATTTTCTTGAAAATCAGATCTGAGAATCCATATGTCTGAAGGGGCATATTACCATCACCCCCTCATCCTTAGCAGCTCCTGGGCGGAGAGTGGTGTCCCCTCACTTGACCAACAGGCTACTACTGTCTCATGATTGGTCCTGTACTCACCGCAATGTTGTAGGCAATTCTTGAATGTTCTCACTGCTGCTGAGTACCAGGGAACAATTTGGTTAGAGAGAATATACTGCTTGGTGACAATTCCCCTTATTTTATAGGTGAAGAACTAAGGCTCTAGAGTGTTCAGCCTCTTGGTAACTTTTATACAGAAAGTTCTGGCAGGTAAGGGATTAGAGCTCAGACGGCTGGCAGTAGGCAGCTCATTAAGGCTCCACTGCTGTAAAAGGTCTTGCCGTGAATAAGAAAAATATTGCCGAGGATGCTAACTCTGAATATTTTCATCAGCTTTAATCAACTGTTGAGTAAACCCCAACCTGCTAAATAAGGAGATGCTTTGGCAGGCCAGGGAGTTGTGGATTAGGGGAACCCAGCCCACACCCGTGCTTTGGTAATCTGCCCATAGCCTCTCTCCATCACTATTCTCCAGCATATGCCAGGGTGGCAGAGATGAGCCACACTTAGGAGGCTGCCACCCGCTGCCTCAGCACTGGAGCCAAGGGAGGGGAGGGCATCAGAAGCATGGGTGTCTCTCATTGTTTGCTTTGGGCTCTCCCCTGGGGCTTCAGGTGAGCCAGCATTTGATCTTCTACTTTGAAAGCAATCTCAAAGAACATAAATAAAGACCTCACCAAGAGGGACTGGTATTCAGTTGATGGGTGGAGCAAATGTTTCAAGGAAAAACCCAACACAGAATCTCCTTTGTGGACTGTCTACACACAGATAATGTGGATTTAAGATCCAAACATTTGTTATTAGGCAGGATGTGTTTAAATCTCAAAATAATCCTGCAAATAGGGTAGAACCCTCATTTCACAAATAAGAGAAGCTCAAAGGAGTCAAGTACCTTGTCCATGGTCACTCAGTGAGAGGCAGACAAGGGATTTGAACCCAGGTCTTCTGAAGTGCACGACAGACTTTCTATTAGACCACAGCTACTGTACTCGTGTGTGGCATTTTGTAGTTTTCAAAGGACGTTCACTTAGACTATTCTGTGAGGCTCGAGCAAGCCTGTGAGGCAGGAAGGGGCACAGACTCAGTGCATTAAATCACAGTCCAAGGCCGCCCGACCCAAACCCATCCTGGCAGAAGTCTCGCTCTCTACTACCCCGTCTTGGTTTCCTTGCTCTCTGCTCATACTCAGTTTCTTCCTCTTACCATCCTTTGATGAGTTTCTCAGGGGCAGTGTGTGTGCGCAAAATTGTCTCTAGAAAAGCCAAGGTCAAACCTAAGTGATTCTCTTCCCCTGTGTCACCAGAGAGCCCGACTGTGGCTGAGAATACAGCACTTACTGTGTGCCGGGTATCTCTGATTTATTCCGCTTGTCCTAAGCCTTTTATATTTACTTAGCTCTCTAAATGTTTACAACAACGCCACCAAGGGCCTGTCATCACCCTCACTTTACAGTTGAGGAAACCAAGACATAAAGTTAAGTAACTTGTTCAAGTCCTGGCGAGTGGCGGGGGAGCTGGGATGATAACCAGAGACCCACTTAAGACAACCTGCAGGGCAGAGACGTGAGACTTAGCTGCAGAGCACTACAAATCCTCCACCTGAGCTTCTTCAGGGACTCCAGAAAGACAGTGGGCCTGCTGCCCATTTCACTGGAATTCTGGCAATATACCAACCACCTATTTCTCGGGGAGCTGAGACTCTCTTCCTCTTGCTCCATGATGCTTTGTGAAGCCGCATGTGTAGATAACCCGGAGCCTGCTCTTGCCGTGTGCGGTGCGGCTGGGGAGGAGATGGGTCAGTTCAGGGGTGGGGTCAGAGCAGTGACACTCGCTCCACCGTCAAGGATCCTCCGTCCCCCGTGCCCTGGCCCAGCTGGATCACCAGAGTCTAGACCAGGGCTTCCCCATCTTCCCTGATCAAGACCCGAAAGTCTTGTTAAAAATATACAGATACTCAAGTACTCAAGTCCTTCCTCTGAAGCTTCTCATTCCATCAGACTGGGGTGGGACCTGGGTCTAGATATTTATCTATTTACACACCAGTCATTAGTCAGTTAACGCGGCTTGGGTTGGTGGTGCGCTCGTCCTGTCTTAGCTGCTGGGGATGCAGAGTGAGCAGGACTCACTGGGAATGATCCTGATGAGCTCGGGGTCTAAAGGGCAAATGACCCGTAGATAAGCGGGCTGTCAGTGAGGGCCGGGGTGGCACACAGGGAGTGCTGGCTCGCCCAGACAGCAGGGGGCCAGACACACGGTCCCTCCTCTTCCCAAGCCTCACATTGGTTTGCTTCAGGCACGACCCTCACTCTTCCTGCGGGCTGCACGATTTATATCCTCTTTAGTCCCTTTTGCATGAGCATTTCTCCACTCAAATGACAGGCTGGTTTAGCCAGAGGCCTGCGACTGTGATGGTGCCAGAGTGGGCACTGTAGGGTACTTGCACTCCTCATCCTTGCTTCTCCCACCCCAGCCCCCTTCTGGATCTCTCTCTGAACATGCAGGCATGGCCAACACGCTGCGGGGCTGTTTCTCACCGGCACTGCAAGGGAGGGGCACTGTCCACCTGTAAGAGGTTGTCCCATCTTTACCTCGTGTCATGGAACTCAGTGGCTCCTAATCCCCTGTTGTCAAAACCCAATTCTTCCTGCTGGGTCAGGTGCTGTCTGAGATCTTTAAGACCCTTGAGGAAATCACGTGGAGGGAGGAGAGCTCTGGTCTTTTGTCAACTGAGGCAAGACTGGGTGATTAAGCTAAGAAAGCAAAGTCATTTTGGTCTAGAGGATTATTTTTGAGGTGTGTTGGGAACCTAGAAGCAACTTATTGCCTGGGAGGCAAACCAAACCCAAGATGACTCTCAGCTAATTGCTTGTCTCCTTTTTGCCAAGCCAAACTCCTCAGTATATAAAGACCAGTCTCCTCTGTCATCTTCATCCTCTGTCTCCATCCCTCTCAATTCTTGCTAAGCAATTGCGAGCTCACCTCCAAGTCCTCTCATCATGAATAGACAAGCCTGCCAGAAATCCTTCAGTGGAGGGAGCCAGGGCTTCTCCGGCCGCTCTGCTGTGGTCTCCGGCAGTAGCAGGATGAGCTGTGTGGCCCGCACCAGGGGAGCTGGTGGAGGGGCCTGCGGTGCCCGGGGTGGAGCTGGTGGCTTCGGCAGTCACAGCCTCTACAACCTGGGTGGCTCCAAGAGCATCTCCATGAGCGTGGCTGGTGGCTCCCGGGCTGGTGGCTTTGGGGGAGGACGTAGCAGCTGTGGTGGCGGCTTTGGAGGTGGCTTTGGTGGTGGCAGAGGAATGGGAGGTGGCTTTGGAGGGGCTGGTGGTTTAGGAGGGGCTGGTGGCTTTGGAGGGGCTGGTGGTTTTGGTGGAGGTGGCTTTGGTGGCCCCGGTGGCTTTGGTGGCCCTGGTGGCCCTGGTGGCTTTGGTGGCCCTGGTGGTCCTGGTGGCTTTGGCCCTGGTGGCTTCCCTGGAGGAATCCAGGAAGTGACAGTCAATCAGAGCCTCCTGCAGCCCCTCAACATGGAGATTGACCCCCAGATTGGACAAGTAAAGACCCAGGAGCGGGAGCAGATCAAGGCCCTCAACAACAAGTTCGCTTCCTTCATTGACAAGGTAAGGCAAAGCCCAGAGGTGTCACGGGGGTTTGGGCTCTCCAAGGGATGAGTACAGGCAGGTGTCAGTGGGATCAGCCAGGCTGAAGAGAAGGGTGCTGGATTCTTGTCCAAGTTCTGCCTTGGTGCTATAGGACAACAGGCATCTATCTCCCTCTTGCTATTTGGGTTTTGTTTCTCCAGTTGTGAAATGGGACAAGGATTCTAGCTCCTGATTTCCTTCTAGGGTCTGCACCAGGGAAAATGAGGTGAGGGTCCAAAGGTGCTTTTAGCTCTTTTTAAGAATGGGGCATTAAACTATAAGAAAGAAAAAAATCAAAATCAACAAACAACTATGAACCAGAGACACACTCTGGGGGCGCGGGGGACGGGGAAAGGAAGGATTGGGGTCAAAATCAGGGGGTTGCAATTGTATGGGGAATATGAAAAATAAACAATAAATTAAATAAAAAAAAGAATGGGGCATCAGCTAGGAAATTAATATAGTTAACTTTTCATGTACTCTTGAAAAGCAATTGCTAGATACTCTAAACTAGCTGGCGATCCAACTTGCATCAGTATGAATCTTGAACAAACTCTCAGTGATGACTGACTGTTGGCAGCAGACTTACCTCCCAATGCTGCTGTCTTTCAGCGGGCATTGTGCGGAGCTGTCCGCGCTGAGGCAGGAAGGGAGTGCTAGGTCAGAGGGTGAAACTTGGATTTGAAGTTAAATTCAGGGCAGCTGTTTTTGCACATTTTCCATAGTTGCTGACTAACCGAGAGGGGAGACAAAAAGGAAAATGTGAAAACAAACTAAGGAAGAGTTAGGTCTTGTTCCCTGTATGGTAGTAAAAATGTTTTCATTTAAAAAAGAAAATCAACTTTTTTATACTGACCTCTTTCAGTTATGTTCTGAAGGGTCCCAGTAAACAAACTCTTGGGTTTGCTAGTAGCCATCTCAATGAGTCTGGTTTTCTTTTTCTACAAAATAGGGACAATAGCACCTCTTTTATAGGGGCCGTGAGGATGAAAGGAGAAAGAATATGAGAAAAGAGTAGGTAGAGACCCAGCACTCAGCATCCTAGCTCTCCTTTTTCTAAATACTCATCTTCCCCAAATTCCAAAAAAGAGGTGACTGCAGATTGGAGAACAAGGGTCACTTCCCACTTTTGCACACTTTGGGGTTGGTGGCTCCACCTGGCCAGCCCCAGAGGCTGATCCTTCTTCCTCCCTGACGCAGGTGCGGTTCCTGGAGCAGCAGAACCAGGTCCTGGAGACCAAGTGGCGGCTCCTGCAGCAGCAGAACTCACATTCCTCCACAGGCACCAACAACCTGGAGCCTTTCTTTGAGTCCTACATCAGCTTCCTGCACAAGCACTTGGATTCAATTGTGGCAGAGAGAGGGAATCTGGAGGGAGAGCTGAAGAATATGCAGGACATGGTGGAAGACTTCAAAAAGAAGTGAGGGCCCCGGCTGGGTTTTCACTGCCAGGGCATTAACAAGGAGGCGTGCGCCCAACGTGGCCCTGCCTCTGTGTGGGGAGACTTGGGATCCCATCCTGTGTTTCACTTCTGAAATGTCACTGTTGACAAGTGTGTCTCCTCCTCCAGGTATGAAGATGAGATCAACAAGCGCACTGCAGCAGAGAACGAGTTTGTGGGGATCAAGAAGGTGAGCAGGGAGAGCAGACAAGCTGGGGAGAGCAGACAAGCTGGGGAGAGCAGACAAGCTGGGGAGAGCAGAGCCAGCTGCCCCAGGGCTCAGCGACCCTGTGCTGAGTGTGGGGTTTACATTTTCCTGACATTTTTGGAAATGCCGTGTTTGATGAGGGAAGTGGCTCTGAGGGAGACATTTGCAGTCTGGCTGTGGTCAGGGAGCTGATTAGTGATGATGAACTCATTGTGGGTTTTTGTGTGTTTTTTTTTTTTTTTTTTGTATAACAAGGTTTTCAACTTACAAATGCACCTGATGTTATTAATAGTAAAAAGAAAAAAAATCCCCGTGGCTGGTTGAAACTGGTCATCCTGGAGATGAAGTCTCAGGAGAAGGCCTTCCTTTCTACTCAGCAGGGCGGGTTTTAGGAGCAGATAACCAAGCCACGCACTAGATAAATGTGATGTGATTTTTTCTAGTCTTACCTCTGTGCTTGGCTGCTTATGGTCTCTATTTTGTTAGCGGACTAAGGTTTTGATTGGTCAAAGCAGTTTAAAAGGAAGAAAACTGTTTTTGCTTATTTTTTTGAAAGGGGGAGGTGGGAAGTCACAGGAGGAGAGATGGAGGAGGGCAGAGAGATGAGCACGGAGGAGAGAGTCATGGGTGGTGGGGAGCAGGAGGTTGTTCTTTTGGATTTCTGATGGCACCCCCCGCCCCCCAACCCAGGACGTGGATGCAGCCTACATGAACAAGGTGGAGCTGCAGGCCAAGGTGGACAGCCTGACAGATGAGCTCAACTTCCTGAGGACACTCTATGAGATGGTGAGCCCGCACTGACGGTCCTTTCTGTCTGCATCGCCCCGAGCTTCCCGAGTGTGACTTTAGGGGACAGTCAAGTGGCAGGACATTCACAAAACCAGCAACAGGGCTCAGAACTTAGCTCTGCCCCATCCATAAAATGCTAACTTAGCATCCCCCCACCCCCACACAGCTTGGTCACAGAGAGGGCAGGACCCCTCTCTGTCCTATTTCCCCTCTGTCCCAAGTCTGTTTTGTTCTACACCCTCCTTCTGGCTCCTAAACCAGGATCACAGCCAGTTCCTTTAGACTCCTCCCTACGCATTTCCATGGAAATCCACGCACAGGCTGATCTTTTCAGGCCAACATCCAGTTGTATTTCCTTTTTCTTTTAGCCTTGTTTTCTGGCATCCTATAGGCTTTTCCAGGCTTGAAATGCAAATTTATTTTTCTAATTGTCCCACACCTGGCTCCATCATTGCTAGAAGACATTTGCACTTCATCATTCTCGGCATCTTCTAGGGCCAGGGATGGGGAGAGTGACCATCTACATTCCCTGCAGGAGCTGTCCCAGATGCAAAGCCACGTCAGCGACACATCCGTGGTGCTGTCCATGGACAACAACCGCTGCCTGGATCTGGACAGCATCATCGCTGAGGTCCGGGCGCAGTACGAGGAGATCGCCGAGAGGAGCAAGGCCGAGGCTGAGGCGCTGTACCAGAGCAAGGTAGGAGCCCTCCTCTTGCCCCAACCTGGATTTAGGTCTCACTGAGTTGCCTAAGGATGTTCCTGTACTTGGCAAAGTCACGTTGATGAGTTTCTCCTCTGTCAGCTTGGGGAGCTGCAGAGCACAGCTGGCAGCTATGGGGATGACCTGAAGAGCACCAAGACCGAGATCATGGAGCTCAACAGGATGATCCAGAGGCTGCGGGCCGAGATCGAGAACGTCAAGAAGCAGGTGGGCTGGCTTGGGCTGCTGGTTCCCGGGCTGCCAGGGAGAGATGGGGGAGAGCGTCTCAGGCCTCCTCGCCTGGACTGGACTCCTGGGACCATCTCAGGCAGCCTTGACCTGTGGGGAGTTCAAAGACCAAGGCAGCCCCAATGGGTGATAATTCATGGGGGAAATAGCTCTCCTGATGGAGACAGGATGGAGGCTCCAGGGAAGGCGGGATGTTGCCTGACTTTAACATGCTAATTGATATCTTCCCTCTCCTGCCCCAGAATGCCAAAATTCAGGGGTCCGTCGCAGACGCTGAGCAGCGTGGGGAGATGGCCCTCAAGGACGCCAATGCCAAGCTCCAAGAGCTTCAGGCTGTCCTGCAGAAGACCAAGGATGACCTGGCCCGGCTGCTGCGGGACTACCAGGAGCTGATGAACGTGAAGCTGGCCCTGGACGTGGAGATCGCCACCTACAGGAAGCTGCTGGAGGGCGAGGAGTGCAGGTGAGGGCCACAGTATCTACGTTCTCAGGACACATTTTAGTGTGACCTTTGATAGCGACTAAGTTGGTAAGGGCCACTCAGGGAGAGCTGGCAATAGAGAACCCAGAACGGGGTGGTGACAGCTGGCTAATCAAGCGGAATTGGGTAGGAGGAAGTCACTGAACAGACAATCTGGGAAGAAGGGGCGGAGGATGGGAAGATGGAGACTTGGGGTGTGGTCGTGGAGCTTCTGGGCGTCTGCACCTCCCGAAGCAGCCCCTTTCGCCGGCCGTCTGCCCACGGAAGCTGACGTGGCCTGGCCCTTCCTCCCCAGGAGCTTGACCCCAGCTAGGGCAAATGAGGGACGTAGCTCCCGAGGTCATGAACCCCCGACGCTGGCTAATGACTCACCGCAGAACTAACCCATGGCTTCTTGTCTCTTTTAGGATGTCTGGAGAGTGTCAAAGCGCCGTGAGCATCTGTAAGTAGCCTTCAGAAGCCTTCTCCCTGGGTTGCAGAAAGGGCACCTACAAACGACATCCTCACTGACAGGTCTTGGGCAGGACAACCTGACCCATGGCAGGAGGCTGGGCCCCCAGATAGTGCCTGGGGGGTCTCAGACCATGGCCACACAGCCCGCCCTGTGTAAGCTGGAAACCGTCGGGCTGCAGCTAGCTCCTCGGTACTATTGGGCAGGGCCGTAGGCTGGAGAGCCAGACATTTCTGAGGATATGACTGGCTCTGGTTCTTGGGAAAGGGTGCCAGAGGGCAGGTTCATGCTCACTGGTTACCACTTGTGGCTCCAGAGAAGCTGAGTATCTTTCTCCAGTCCCAGAGCCACGCGGGGCAGGGCTGGGCTGTAGGCCCAGGCCGTTAGCCTGAGCTGAGTGTCTCTCTCTCCTGCAGCTGTGGTCAGCAACGTCAGCAGCACCAGCAGCACCTCTGGTGGAAGCCATGGAGGCTTCGGAGGGGTCGGCGGTGGCAGAGGTGGCTATGGAGGAGTCAGCGGAGGCAGCAGCAGTGGCAGAGGCAGCAGTGGTGGCTACGGAGGGGTCAGCGGAGGCAGCAGCAGTGGCAGAGGCGGCAGTGGTGGCTACGGAGGGGTCAGCAGAGGCAGCAGCAGTGGTGGCTGTGGAGGGGTCAGCGGTGGCAGCAGCAGCAGCAGAGGCGGCAGCAGTGGCTATGGAGGGGTCAGCGGTGGCAGCAGCAGCAGCAGAGGCGGCAGCAGTGGCTATGGAGGGGTCAGCGGTGGCAGCAGCGGTGGCAGAGGCAGCAGCTCGGTGGGCCAGAGCGGCCTGGGCGCCTGCTCCGGCGGCATGCAGTCCTCGGGAAGCAGCGGCTACAAGTCAGCAAGTGGCAGCAGCAGTGTCCGCTACTCCCAGACCACCAGCTCCAGCCAGCACTGCTCCAAGTGATCTTCTGGGGCCAGATCTCCGTGCCCACCTGCTTCCCTCTCAGCTGCTTCCCTCTCTGCTTGGCCTCAACACACCTCAACTTGCTTTTCTTCAAGTTCCCTGGAGAAGGGGCTTCTCCACCTCAAGACCTTTCTCAAGTCAGGGACATCCAGCTGCAAGTCTGCAAATGCGGTGCCCCCAGGTGAGCCCGGCCACGGCTCCCGACTTTGGACAGAACACTTGAGCCCTAACCAGCGTGGCATACCCCGCCTGGCCTGTTCCCACTCTGGCCCGGCTCTCTCTCTCACTAGGAGCTGATGGCCTGAAGCTGGCGCCTCTAAGTCAAACCCCCGAGGAGGCCATGCAGTGGGGCCAGTGTGGGAGGGTGAGGATTTTTGGCCTGTTGGTTCCCAGGATTTTCTTCCTCAATCTGGGCATCATATCCTGACTTACCTGCTTCATAACTCCCAGAGCGCTGGATCCTCTGGTGATGACTATATTGTACTTCCTCAATAAATTGCTCGTATCTCACAATCTGGTGTTTGGCTTTCATTGAAGGATTCACAGAAGGCCAAGGTGGAGGGCGTCAGCTAGGGGTGGTGTCTTCCAGGAGTTCAGGCGTGGATCTAAAGGACACCGAACAGTCTTGGCTTTCCTTTATCTATTTGTTTGGGTTCTTGTCACAGGTCTGTCCAAGAATATTTATGGTGTTTAAGTGGGGGCCTTCCTTACTCCAGGTCTTGCCATCCAGTCTCCTGCCTCTGAGCAGGCCTCCAGGATCCAGTCTTAGAAGAGGCTTTTGCAGCTCACTGAGGGAATAAATTCCACTGGGACTCTGGCTCCTTCGCTCCACCCCCACGTCAGCCAGAGCAAATTCTCTTCCTGCAAATACAGTTCTTATAGTCGGAAGTGGGCAATACCCTCTTTTCTCTGCCCAGGTTCTGATTCAGTTAAAAAGCATTACAAGAGCCTGGGCCTTTTGACAATTATGACAAGTGTGACAAAACAGAGCTATGCTGGGCTTATCAGAACAGATATTGGAGAAGGTGGCTTTTGGGCGTGTGGAGGACGCAGAGTCGGGTGGGGTGAGTGTCCTGTTACAGGACCTTGGAAATAGGCCTGCTCTCCCACTTGGGCTGTGGCAGCAATGGCTGTCATGGCCTCCCCATGGGGTCAGACCCCTCATGGTAAAAAGGAGAGCGGAACTTATATGTGCTGTGGATGGCCAGAGTCTCAGAGAGACTCGTGCCAAGCAAACCAGGGCAGAGAGAGGGCAGGAGCAGTGCCTGGTGAGGCTCACTCCAGATGGATGCAAAATTAGGAACCGGGAAGACGCGGTTTGCTCTTCTTCCAGAATTTCAGCAGAAAGCTGATCCCCATCCAGGCCCAGGGAGGCCAGGGGTAATGAGGCAGCTGCTGAGGGAATCCTCTCCTGTCTCGCCCGCTGCTCCCCTCAGCAGTGTATTTCATTAGTCTGCCTGTTCTGTTCCCCGCTGTGTCTGGTAAATCCTCTCACCCTCCTGCGCATCTGGCCTATACCCGGTTCTTGTATAAATAAATAAATCTTTAAAAAAAAAAAGACACTAATAAAAAAAAAAAAGATCATCTTCTCTTCTCCACACCCCAGAACCAATCCATCTGCATGCCCTTGAGCACGGTCAGATTCTGGCTTGTAAATCAGTGTGGATAATCCACCTTCTCAGAAGTCATTAGAGCTGGGCTTATGAGAAGGCATCTGTACCTCTGTCTGATGGCTCTAGGAGAGTGCCAGGTCCTGGCCTCCAGGTTTTTGAGCCCAAGATGGGACTAAGCTCATGCCATCTGCTCTACCTGTAGAAGCCCTGTCTCAAGACGTGGAGAAAGAGACTTAAAATACTTTTTATTGAAGTAACCTTGGTTGATAACTTATGCAGGTTTCAGGCATACAGACTTCTAGAGCAACACTGGTGTAGCTACATTCTGCTCACCCCTAAAGGTCTATTTTCATCCATCATCATACTATGAACCCCCTTTGTCCAATCTACCCGCCCCCTTCCCTTCTGATAACCACTACCTTGTTCTTACAGTGGAACTATTTTGTGGGTTCATTTGTTTTGTTTCTTTACCTACCACATGAAGTCCCATGGTATTTGTCTTTCTATGTCTTATTTTACTCAGTGTCATACCCTCTTGGTCCATCTCTGTTATTACATATGGCAGAGTTTCATCTTTTTAATAGGTGAGTAGTATTCCTTTGTGTATATGTACCACATCTTCTTTATCCACTCACCCATCAACAGGCAGCTGTTTCCAACTGTTGGCAACTGTAAATAATGCTGTGATGAACATGGGGGTGCATAGATCTCTTTGGATTAGTGTTTTCATATTCTTCAGATAACTACCCAGCAGTGGGATCATGTGATATTTTTATTTATATTTTGGGGAATCTTCATACTGTATTCCATAATTGGTTTCTCCAATTTACATGCTCAACTGTGTATGAGTTTTCTTTTTTCTTTGCATTCTCCCCAATTTTTGTTGTTTCTTGCTGTTTGGATGATAGTTATGAAGAGACATTTTAAAGTTTCTACACTTGAGAGTTCAATAAATTCTTGCTCATTTTTTCAAGGCTTACAGGTTGAAGGCAGTCCTGCTCCCCATTTAACCCATGCAGTTTGGGTACTTGGGAGCAGAACAGTCTGGTCTGGATTGCTGTTCTTACTGGCATTTTAGAGACATTACAAGAAATGGCACGAATCTCTAGGACAGCCTCCCAGGTGCCCTGGTCCATGTGTTGCTTGAATTACTGGGAAGAGGCTGACTGTCATGGGTTAACCCAGCTTCTGGTTAGACTCAAGCAGCCATCCCCGAATGCTGCTGCTTCAGTTTCTCTAATCACCTGCTCCATGTGCAGAGACCCACCTCAGGGCCATGCAGAGTGTGTGGGAACTCGTGAAAGTTTGGTGGTCAGTTGAAAGAATGAATCAAAATGAAGATTCTGGAATACTGCCTGCCCTCCAGACTGACAGGAAGACTCCAGGTCACCCTTTAAGACAGAATGGAACTGAAAATTGACAGTGAGAACCCTGGACCCTCCTGTGAACTTTTGTGAGGAGAGATGGTGGAGGAGGTCAATCAAGACATGCTGGAGAGGAAGCCTGGAGCAGGCTTGGCAAGGAAAGAGCCTGGGCAACATGGAGGAAGGTCAAAGTGACAGAAAGCTGTCCAGACCAGATCCAAAGAGAATTCCAGGACATCGGTGTGTCATGTCTGAGGCCAGGCTAAGGGCTGGAGAAAATGGGATATTTCTAAGTCTATGGGAAACTGGCAATCCTGAGCTTTGATGACTGGAGGCGACAGTTGTTTTAACACTCCCAATAAGTACTCCTAAATGGTCAAAAACCCTACACAAATGAGCCACCAGTGTTGAAGGACTGAAACTTACCCAAGTGCCACTGCTGTGAGCACAAAGAAGCACAGTCTAGCTGTGGTATTTGGAACAGGGAGTTTGTAACGACCTCACTCCACTTGGCTGACATGGGACACGCATGTTGGGCGGAAGGGGCTTTCCCGGTGGAATGCTTGATGCAGTCTTGACCCAGAGCAGTCTGACTCTCAGATACACCTAAGAAAGGTACCTACTTTGGCAAGGTGTCTACCAGGGGCTACTGAGTAGAAGAAAGTGTTTTAGGAAACGCTGAAGTCCTAGGAAGGTCAGGTAATTTATCTTTTCGGCCTATTTCATTACTACCTAACATCCATAAAGAGTCACAGAGCAGTGTTTCTAAGATGTACTCTGCTGTCATCACAAGCACAAGTTTCTCCTGCCCTCCTGGGCCCATGAGGCCCAGAAGGCACGTGCTGCCTGAAGGCAGGAGCTAGCGCCGCTGACTCTGCTGGGAATTTGGCATAGGAGATGATTTGCATAAGGGAGTTACCACTAAACCGGTGCTTAAGTCCAGTCCTCGGCCTTCTTTTTCTGCTTTGTAGTCCAGAAACATCTCTTTAAATGCCAGAAAGTCCGTGAACGTGAGTAACATGTCGAATATGTCATCAGTCACCTCGTCCTTGCGCTGCCTGAGCGTCGTGGTGAAGGCCGCCATGTTGAATCTGGGAACCCTCCTGAGCAGCTCTTCTTCGATATACTTTTCCACTAGAGAAAGGTACTCATTAAAAATTAGCAAGTAGCTGAGTTTATTCTCTTCCGTGTCTTCAAATTCTTGATAATAGCTGTCCATGAAACTTCTCTGCAGTACCTGGAACTCGGTGTCCATGATAATGTCCTCGATACATCCAATCACAGCATCAAATTCGGCTTCAGAGGCAGAAGACTCGGCCGACAGCGCGAGGCTCTCTTCTTCCAGGATTCCGTCTACTTCTCCCATGTCCATGCTGCCCGGGCTGAGCTGTCCTGCGGCCTCCCACCTGGGGCCGGGGTGGAGTCTGGCCCGCACTGCCCACCTCCCGGGGCCACGCCCTGCCTCCCGTCACCATGGCCGAGACCGTCATTCTTGATGACTGCATAATATTCCTTCACATGGATGTGGCACATTTTGATATATGTTATTCCTACTCTCCCCACTATAATCAGCCAGTGCTGCAATGAACACATCTCTGAATGTGTCCTAGGCATTCTTTTAAGATGACTTCCTAGGTGTGCAATTGTTCAGCCACTTATATTGTCAGATGGTTTTCTATTATCAAAAGGTTGTCCAGAAAGATGGCAGCAATTGAGCCTTACAGAAGGGGTGTACATGACTTCCTCTTTCTCCAGTCTTATGAACAAAGTGGTATTCTTGGGCAATTTTTTTTAACATGATATCGAAGATTTTAATAATGAATGAAAAAAATTACAAAGAATATATGCAGTATATCTCTATTTGTAAAAAAGATTTTTTAAGGGTTGTTGTAAAGATTTAATGAATTAATAGAGTTGATCCTTGAACAACATGGGTTTGAACTGCATGAGTTGTCCACTGTGAAAAAATTTTCTTGTAAACAAATGATATAAATGTAAGGTACCACCAAATACAGTATACTACCATAAATGTATTTTCTCTACCTTATGATTTTATTAAAAACATTTTCTTTTCTCTAGTTTTATTTTTTTTTCTTTTCTCTAGTTTTATTAATGGTGGTAATATATTGTATAATATATAACACTTATTACATACCAAATAAGCATTAATTGACTGTTGATTTTTTTTGTCAGCAAGACTTTTATAATTTTTTTTAATGTGGAGTTTTTGATGAAATTGCTTTTTTTTTTTTAAGATTTTATTTATTTATACAAGAACTGGGGTACAGGTCAGAGGTGCAGGAGGGTGAGAGGATTCACCAGAGACAGAGTGGGGAACAGAACAGGCAGACTGACTAAAGACACTGCTGAGGGGAGCAGCGGGTGAGTCAGGAGAGGTCTGCTGCACCATGTGGGTGTCTCCCTGGCTGGCTGGGAATCAAACTTGTGCTGCGGAAGCTGTGGACAGCTTCAGAGCATGGCGCTCAACCTGCTGTGCCACCGGGGAGGCCCCCGAAATTACTTATTTTGTTAGTTTGAGGACAATCTGAAACCTCTCTCCCAGGCCCCTGGAGAGGTCAGGCTGCCAAGACAGGCACCCAAGTTGGCTTGTGAGTGGGTTTAGAAGGGTTAAGAAAGTGTGAGAATTCACTGGCACCTATGAAAAGGGTCACTTCTCTCTGGGCCAGAAAGACATGGTGTGTGAGGTCCCTCTTAACGGCAGTATATTTAGTCAGTCTGTCTTTCAAAACCCCAACCTGATGTGTGTGTAGGGGTCTACCCTGAGCTTAGGGTAAGAGATGATGTGATGGAAGAGTGTCCAGTGTGATGATGGAGGTGTAACACTCGTACCCACACAGAGGGGCAGTGCCAGAGCAGGAGGAGGTGGACAGTCATTCTTTCTACAAAACCTGCGACCCACAATGGGCCAGATGCTGTACTGGGGGATGGGGAATGCTGGGGGCCCAGAAAGATGTGGCCCTGTCCTCTTGGTGTTTACTATACAGTGGGCAGGGCTGTAGCCCTTGTGCAGGGGACAGGAAGGACGGGAATGCAGGTAGCAGCGTCCATGGGGGTCTGTCTGAAAGGGGAGTTTCCTGAAACAGGGGCTGAGGACCTATGTTTGATAGGGGAAGAGACTAGGTGTGGGATTAAGGTAGGTGACATGGGACCCACTGGGGTGGTGAGTTGAGGAAAAATAGAACTATGCAGGGAATCACAGGGCGATGAGGGGGATGTTGGGACCTCTTGTGGTCACCCCAATGGTGAATTCTAAATAGCTCAGATGGTCCACTCATTCAAGACTCTGGTCAGTCTGGAACATTCTTTGCTAATACTCACCCCTCTGCTAGTCAGATAGCCGAAGTGCCGGTTGTGCTGCTGATCCAGGAGTGGACCAGCTCAGGGTTTCTGGGGAGCTGTGTGGATATACAGTGAGTAAGACTTGCAGGTGTCTCAATCTGGAGGAACCCAACTTTTAACTTGACCTTCCCAGACTCCTCCCAGATTCTTGAATGAACCTCATTCTTTCTGGGAGGCAGTCAGCAGAGTGACACCAGGGGACACCCAAGGTTTTGGGAATGAAAGAGCCATACAGTCATGTAATTGAACCTGCTGGCTCCTGAGAAGCCAGTGCCCGGGGCCCTGGGCTGGGCTATGGCAGGCAGGACCCAAGATCATTTCTCAAGCAAGGACCCGAGTATGTTCTTGCACAAAATCCACACAGTCTGTAAGGCTAATTACAGGCTCCTGAATTGGAGACTGAGATCACAGCAAAAGAAATTGGTGTGGGGATTAGTTTCATACAGGGAATGAAAGCTAGAAAATCATCCTATTAATGAACCAAATTCACTGGCACCTATGAAAAGGGTTACTTCTCTCTGTGCCAGAATGTCTTTTCTCAGTGCTTTTCTGAACCAGGACATCTTTCTGCATCCAGAAAAAATAATGAGCTGGCCACTCAGCAGGCTAGCCCAGGCACTGACAGCTCCAGGGGTCATTCTGCCATTGTGGTATCTGACCAGAACCTTGTCAGTTCCAACAGGTCCCAGACAGCCTTTGGGGTCACCAATGTGCCATGATAGGCCTTGGCTCATGGTGATGAGGGTGATTTCCCAGCACAGGAGACTCTAGAGTGTGAGTTATGACATAATTTCATTACAGGATTTCCCCCTTCTATTTCTAATATCCAGGAATGTCAGAAATGGGGTGTCAGTATGCTCTTAAAGGCCCCACCATTCTTATTGTCCATACGACCAAATTGGCTTTTTTAAAGATTCATTTATTTATACATACAAGAACTGGGGTGCAGGCTAGAGGTGCACGGGTGAGAGGATTCACCAGAGACAGAGTGGGGAGCAGAACAGGAGGATCTACTGAAATACACTGCTGAGGAGAGCAGTGGTCGAGACAGGAGAGGTCTGCTGCTCCATGTGGGTCGTTTCCCTGGCCGGGGATCGAACTCGTGCTGCAGAGGCTGCAGATAGCTTCATAGTGCTGTACTTAACCCTTTGCGCCACCATGGAGGCCCCACCTAATTGGCTTTTGCCTGGCCATGTCCAGCAAATATTCACTTGCATCTCTACCCCAGTCGGCCACCACCTCCTGGGTGAACTCCTTTCCCTGGCACATGTGCCCGTCCCCATGACATCTCATGACATCTTCGGAGCATGACATCTCAATCAGAGGCTGGGCATGATTTCATGATGCTGAAGGAGGGCACAGGGGATTGGGGCTGAGCAGGGAGGAGATGGAGCAAAATGAAAGTGGTGAATAGCGGTGTCTTTTCTGGGAAGGCACTTTCTCTGGAGCAGGTTTTCCAAGTGTTGTCCTGCTGCTGATGGCCAGAGTGCAGGTCAGTGCCAGCCTCACATGGGAGCCTCTGCTCCAGTGGTTTCCTTTCTGCAGCTTAAGGTATCTCTGAAGCGGCTTACCACTTGCAAAACCATTTTGAGCCTTTTATTATACTATCCATTGTTGACTGTTGAAAAGTACCATCATAATCATCCAAATTATAAAATTTGATAATAATAACCTTTCTAACACTGAGCTTTGTTGGAAATCTCTGCTGCCAAGTGTGTCTACTTTATGTGATTTTTGTTCTTATCTCCATTTAAATATGATGTCAGATTTATGAAATGTGATGGTCACTAATGAGAGTAATATTGAAGCCAAGAGACCTGATTCTTTGTCCCTTATGTTCAGGATGCAGATGTTTCTGCATGAACAAGATGAAATTGGAAGTCAAAATGGAGAGTCTAACCAGAGAGGTCAATCTGGAGAGCCCTCTAGGAAGCCATTCTCCCTTTCCCTTCCACATCTTGAGATCTCAAGTTTCTGGAAAATAAATAACTGAAAAAAATTTTAGTTAGATGTTACTTCCATCCCAGGAATTATTCTGAGAATTACATGTAACTCATTTATTCTTCATAAGGAGGTAGGTATGTATGGTCACCCGCATTTTACAAGGAGGAAAAGGAGGCACGGAAGGGTAGTTTACACGGGGCCAAAGTTAGCGGTTGGTATCACCAGTTTTTGAACATAGGCTGTTGGACTCCAGAACACATGCTAATAACACATGTGTAGTTTTGTTTCCTATGATACATATGGGGCATGGGGTGTCTCTGGTGGATGTTAGAGACTTTGCTCTGTCCTTGGTGCTGAAATCTGATTTCGCTGCCTGGAGGGACTTCTCTTTCTCAAGAGCCTGACACTCACCATTTCTCCTTCCAAACTCAATTTCTCTCATTACCTACTTTAGTTATGATTACTTGCATTTGCTCACAGATTTCTGAGATTAAGTAAACTTTTGTCCCTAAGTTCAGCTTTAAACGAGGAAGAAATGGGTGGAGGGGGTTAAAAGACTTTCAGGTATAAAATAAGTTTGGGGCCACCTGGATAAACTGGTACAAATTCTCTATCTCAAGATCCTTAATCACACCTGCACAATCCTTTTCTCTTTTTACACCTCCATCCCTTGTGTGCCCTGGCCCTTTCCTCCGCTCCCCATCTTACACTCACAGTCTCAGTGTTTATTGATGTCCTAGTTTTCACAAGTGTCTATAATATTTGTGTATGCCTGTCTGGCATTATTTTGTTTGGCTCTCTTTGGCCCACTTGGACCACAGCTTCTGGTTCATTTCCCAGAAAGAGATTGTTTTCAGTGATCACTTATTTAAATAGGTTTCCTATGCTTCTCTCTTTTTCTTCTCCTTCTGGGATCCCCATGATACACATATTATTTCTCTTTAAGCTGTCCCACAGAGCCCTCATACAGTTTTCATTTTAAAAATTCTTTCTTCTCTACCTTGTTCAATTCTGTGTTCTCCCATATTGTGTTTTTCAAGATCATTAATTCTCTCCATTGCTTCTGTTTGTCTGCTATAAAGGCCCTCAAATGCATATTTTAAATCAATTCTAGTGCT